TGAAACAAAATTCAGCCTGTGCCTCCAGTTGTTTCTGGTTGGCTCTGAAATGTGGAAGGGTATCACTGGCCGAGCATCCACGTCTTTCTGAAGGGTTGTAGGGCAGGGATTCATTCCCTCAGGGCAGGACTTTTCGCAGAGGGAATTCTGCTCCCCCCTGCAGTCAAGCCTTGTGTCAGGGGCGTCCGGGTGCTTCTGCCTTTCTGATGTTCCTGCCACACTGCGAGGTGAGAGCCGCTGCTGAGGGGCTGTTGAATTAGAAATAGAGCACGCTTTTCACAGCCGGAGTTGATGGTTATGGTTGAGGGGATGGTGTCCTCCGTTTCGGAACCAGGTGGAGAAGAAGGCTCAGAGTGAAGGCATTTATAACAACAGGGCCAGCGTAGTGCTGCAGAGGGTGATTATCGGCCCCAGCGTGGCTCCCCGGCGGATGCTGTACCCCTGCTGAAAACATTTGTTCTGGCCCTAGCTTCAGTGCGCCAGAATGCCTCTCCACCCTTCCTTATTTTTAATCATTGCTGTGTTTTGCTCTGATGGACTTTTCTGGCAAATGCCTGACTTAGCCTGCCTTGAAGTAAAGCTGATGTTAAAGGCATGCAGATTTATTTGAGAGAAAAAGTTGGTTTTCCTCCTGTTTCCTCCTCCTCTCCAAAAAGACTTGGGAAGGTCCCAGCCCTGTCTCATCCAAGCTCCCCCTGAAATTGGTGTATCCAGTGCATTGCCTCAGGATGTGCACACCAAATGGATTAGCGTTCCTCGCGGAAGGGCCCCGTGTGCATCCAGGGGAGACTGCATGGCACAGAGCGTATGCTATGCTTTGGTCTGGCAAGAGCTGCAGGCAGTGGCAAGCTGGGATTGCTGATGTGGCTGGGCTGAGGACAGCACTTAGGCTGAGCTGTCACACCCTGCCGCTCAATGTCAACTCCAAACATCATCTCCTTGTTAGCGGCTGGGGCAGTTGCTCTGTGCTGGATCTGAGCTCTTCTCCCATAAAGCAAAATGCTAATATGCTTTTCTTCCTTGGGACAAAACAGAGAATTTTTTCCCCATGGATTTGCTAGAAGATGAAGAGCATCCCAAGGTTTAAGGCACCTGAAACTGCAGGTACTCATGCCAAGGTTTCCCGTTCCAGCCTAGTAGACTGGCAGAGTGGACCACTGAGATACGAGGTGCCTGTGTCCTTACCATTATGTTACTGGCCTTGCTCTGTTTTTGTCTGGAAGTTGCAGCCATTCCCGAACCATACGTTGCTGTGGAGGGTTTCAATTTTGGTGAAACCCGGGATGGGGGGGTGGAATAAGTGAATCTGGAATATTCTTAAACAGATCAAGTATGCTAAGTGCTGAGCATGACACGATTGAGATACCTTGGCATTGGGAGCTAAATCACTGTAGATCCAGTTGATAATGGAATAAGTGAAGAAAACAGTATAAAATGTTTTGGATTCTGCCTAGCTGTTAGGTGTGTTATGGGAAACCAGCTTTACAGATGTTACAGTCTGCCTGTTTCTCATCCGTGAGCATGAAGGGGCGGCTGCTGCTGTTGGAAGGTATTGAATTTACTATAGCAGCTGTTTATCAAATTGCTGTAATTTCTGCTGGATATGGTGGTCACAGCCCCTGTGCATTCACTGTGAACCTGGGGATGCTTTGGCAGAAGGAGGGAGGATGTGTCAGGAGTGCATTGCTGGGGACGGAAATAAGAAGGTCTAAGGAGCTGGTTTCTGGCCACAGCTCATGCACTATGAGACCAAAGGGGTCTGTTTTTTCTGTAGCTTCCGTTTTCTGTGTTTTCTGATAGCAGAGATTAATGTAAGAGTCTCTGGATGAAGATCAGCAGCCGTTGCTGTACAGGCAATTACCATCAGTATCATTACAGTCCCTTTTAGCCTTGAATCCAGGATTAGGGGGAATATAATCTATTACATTTTCAGCCTGCTTTACTCGGTGAAGGTTTCTCATTTTTATGTGATAAAGAGTAAAGCTGCATGAGAAAGCAGCTTTGTGTCCAGTCTTGCTCTGCATCACAAAGCCCTTTCTTGGCTCTGTTTAGCTGGTAATGCTGCTGTGGACTCTGTAGACTGCAGAAGACAGACCTATTTGCAGCCTTGGTCGCTTAGGAGCTCTTGATTAGAGTCCATTATAAGCACTTTACTGAGGGTGGCAAGTATTACTCTCTGTGTTCAGCAGCTGGGGAAACTGAGGCACGGAAGGAAAATGGTGCAGCCAGAGAGACTTGGAGGTAAGAAGAGATGTCAGCCTTTACCCTGAGTAATGCCGCCCGGACCCTGCTAAAATGACCTGTCCGGAAGGCAGCTTGCAGTAGTCATGCACAGGATGCCTGTATTTCCTAAGCCTTCAGTGACGTGGGCACTGAGTCTTCTCACCGCCTAAAAACACTTGAGAACAGAAGTCTCACTTCAATGTTAACAATCTGGCATGTTCCCTGAACAAGAAGCTTATGTTACAGACAACCTATATTATTGATTTGATTGCCTTGTACTTATTAAGTAATAAGCTACTTAACTGTTGGCATAACTGAAGGAAGCATCCCTTAATTCTTTGACCTGATACACGTACGGGGACCCCCTGTCAGGATGAAGTTTTAAATCGGGGCAGCTGGAAGATAAGGTTTCTTATGCAGCCCCATCGGCTAGTTTTGGTGAGCAGAGGAAGGCGCATCCTCTCCTTCTTGCTGGGTGTTCCTCCTTCACATCCCAGCCACTGCTCCAGCAAAACAGAAGCTGGGAGCTGCTGTACTGTTTATTTCACTAAGTGGCAGATGCTGGCACTTCCTTTCTTTCTAAACTTACGGTGGTTTGCGGTAACATTGACACTCGTAGTGCGCTGGTTTCTAGCAGGGTGCAGATGTTTCTTGTCAGCTTTGGCCATCTTTCAGGGCTATAAATACTGCATTTTATAAAGAGCAGTGGTGAAACAGGGCTGTGATTTATGAATGAGGCTCTGCAAGTTGGCATGGCTTTCGAAGCAGCATTTGTACATGGAAGGCTCCGTAGATGTGTTAGCTCACCTGGTTTTCCTTTGCTCTTGTCAATTGTTAGAGCTGGGAGTTTGAAGCCAGTCATGCCTGATTTGAATGGACAAGGCATTGCTTGGGGCGTGTGTCAGAGGACTCTGGAATTTGCATTCTTCACACATTTGGAGTAGACCAAATTTAGACAATTTTGGACATTGGCTAATGCTTTTGGAAAGGGCTGAGGAGGCATTTCCCACAACAACGGTATCAGGAGGGGCTTTTTTTGTTTTCTAGGGTAGCTGGTGGTCAGTGATGTTAATGCTGTTGGAACTGTATTTACAGTAGTAATTCCCTACTAGAGCACTGAGAATGAGCCCCTTTTGTTATAGCGCCTTATTGTTTACACTGAAATAAATACAAAATCAAATCCCCAGTCCTTGTAGGAACAGGTTAGATGTCTGTTTTCCCCAGATACTTGGTAAAAAAAATTGTACCCACAGTGTGGATGTGTGATACTTTCGATGTTCTAGCAGCACTAGGAGGATAAAACAGAGGTGAAATGGGCAAGTCTCCTTCCTGTAGGAGCACCACACACCTCCTTGTCGTAAACCATGCGTGGGCAGAGAGGTAGGGCACAAGTAATGATTTGTGTGGAAGGAGGCATGCAGAATAGCAAATATTTTTATTTTAAGCTCACGTTATATGAAAATCTCATCTTTAAAGGGTTAATAAGTGGCTAGCAGACATTTCAGTAAATGGCTAGATAATTGTTACTGGAGCGCAGCAATCGGTTGTTCTAACTGTGGCTGGTCAAGCCCAAAGATTACAGTGGTGTATGAAACCGTGGTATGTTGAAGTGTTGTGTTTAAAATCATCGTTAACTCATTCCAGTCATATCTGCCCTGTGCATGACCCCTGCTGATAGTTCATTAGCCCTGTGTAAACGGGGATTTAGTGGAAAGAATTTCTGTATAGTATTTTTTTTTAAATAGAAATGCTGTCACGCATGCGCGCACACACACAGAGCTGAGATTTTGCAAGAATTTTCATGCCAGTGTCAGAGAAAAGCTTTTCCAAAGTTAAAAGCCTGCTTGTGTGCAAGGGTGTGTACGTGGGGGTACGCTTTATGGTGTGGAGGGCTCTTGCTTCTTTGAGGGGAGAAGCAAAACAGGCACACAGCTCAGCCAGAGCTTTCCTACTGTAGTAGAGGTGGGAGGAATCTATAAATGCATGATTTATGTAAAGAGCCCTGGAATTGCCGTGCTGAACATCCTGACTTTGAGCAGCTGGTGACAGAAATTATTGCCACCACGAGGGAGCAGGAGAAAAACAAGCAGTTCTCCAGGCTGGCTTGGGTGGCTTGTGTCTTTCTCCTGTTCCCCAAACAGGAGTCCTCCTTTTTCTAGTGGTGCCTCCCTGTGGGATGCCCACTGCTCACGGGTGGCACGGAAGCCGCTGAGACTTCTGCAGATGTTATTCTAGATTTGGGGAGTTGTATTGTTTCCAGGACAACTGGGGAAGAATGAGGAAGGGACTTCTGCCGAGTCAGCTTGGAGCTACTGAACACCCTGGCTTGTTCGCTGCATTTTTCCCTGGAAAATGGCTAATGGCCTACTTTTACAGGGACCCCTTCAAGCCAAGCAAGTGATTGGGTTAAAAAATACTAGTGCAAGAAGGAAATGCGGAGCCAATGTTGTCAGGTGCAGTTGTAGGCTGATAATGGCAAACAGCTCTCTCTGAAGTGAGCACAAGTTGTGCACTCTCAGAAGGTGAGTGCAGAGCAGAATGTGTTTCTGGGCTGGAAAGCCCATATTTGGGTCTCTATGTTTAACTCTCTTAACCTCTGATGACTGCTAAATAAATGTCCCTGTTCTACACACTCCTTCAATTAAGTGGCATTTGCTATGTTGTGTAATCTTGCCTCTGTACCTTTAATTGCTTTCTATTCTAAGAGGAATTAGATCCTTCCTGAAACTGTAATGTCATCTTATTTTTCTTCTGTCCATATTCTTTCCGTCTCATAGCAATGCTGAACTGCAGAATATGGTGTTAGACTCCAGTGCTGCCATGGGGAGCAATGAACTTCAGGAGAAAGATGCCACCGGAGCCCTTGGCCACGATCTCAGCAATGGCAGCAGCCACAATTTGGAAGCAGCCAGGCGCCTGGCTAAGCGCCTCTACCATCTGGACAGATTCAAACGCTCTGATGTGGCAAAGCATTTGGGTAAAAAGTATGTGCTGATATGAGGCCTTTGGCCACGTTGTTGTTCTTGCTGGTTCTGGAGGGGTTCACTCTCAGATGATAACCTTTACTTATTTATTTGTTTGTTTAAAGCAACGAATTCAGCAAGCTTGTGGCCGAAGAATACCTTAAGTTTTTTGACTTCACAGGCATGACGCTGGACTACTCGCTCAGGTACATGCCCATTTGCAGACCTTATGTTCTTGTTTTAGTAACGGTGCTGTTTGCTGTGTTGTCCTGATTGAAGTCGCTGCCCTGTGGGGGCTTAAGAGGGTGAAGAGAGGGATGCGACGCGTTTTTGGGACGGAGCTTTTCTCTTCTGTTTGGCTTGGCGTGCTGCCGTACTCCAGAGTGCTATTGGAGTGGTGGCATTTCCTGGAGAGGGAAATCTTTAGGTAGACCTGCTTAGAGATAGTCCTTGATGCAGAGGAGATGGAGAAAAATGACTAGTCACTCAGTAAATGGGGGACTTGCAGTCTGCCAGGTGCTGCTGAGGAACGAAGGTGTTGCTCACAGCTGAGCCGCACAGACTTTTTGGCTGATGCCTTTTGGAGCTTGCTCTGCCTGGCTGCACAAAGCCAGGGCCAGGGTCTGATGTGGCTCAGCAGCCCCCCTCGCTGCATCCCTCTGAGGCACCCAAAAATGTGCAGAACAGCAAAAGCTTCCACGTGGAAAATGCTGTTGAGAGTTTGGTAGCTGCCAGCGTGGGTGTTTGAAAACCCAGCCCTTCAATTTTCCTTCCTTTTTACACTGGAATTAGGCCTCGACAATGTTTGTTTTCAGTATTTTTTTTTCTTAGGAGGCAAAACACCAAGTTTGTGTAGCAGTGGCCTGTTAGCAGAGTTGCTGGTATTCTGGTATTTAAAGGGATTTAAAGTGAGTTTAAATCATGTGGATGAGGTTACTCATGTGGGTTATTGTTTTTTTTTCTAATGATACAAAACCAGGAGGTCTGCAGGCACTTGCCAGCCCCCTTGCAAAGGCGTTTCCAGGGGGCTGACTCCAGGAGACTGTGTCAGTCCCCAAGGAAAGCACAGAGTGCCGCCTGCTGAAGGCAGCGGAAAGGAAAGGCGCCTGCGAAGAGTGAACCGCCTGCTCCCGTTCCAGGGGAGCCGTGCCGGAGCACCCGCTCAGCACAGGGCGGGAGCAGCTGGGGTGGTGGGAGGTCTGCTGATCGTTCCAGGTTTTAGCAGCCCTGAAGCACGATGCTAAATATACCCGTCTTTTAAATTGTGAAATCCAACACCTAATTGCTTTGTGGCACATATTTAGGAGGTCTCTGCTCCCGGTAGATCTCCTGTTAATATTAATAGTCATGACCTTCTCTAAAATATGCCCTGGCTCGTGTGGGACTTAGACACGTCAGGGGTTTGCTGAGGTTTCAGGAGTAGCCGCAGCCACTGCCGGCTGCACACCCTGAGCGCGCAGCAGAGGCTGGGGACAGAGCATTGTCCCGAAGCCTGGGGGAGCCGAGTTGTGCTACCTCACGCTTGGAGAGAGCGAGAGGTAACCGCCCTGTTGCTGCTGGCTCGCTGACAAGCTGTGGTTTGTTAAGCATTTTGGAGCCCATGGCAGCAGCCCAGACCCATGCTAAGCCCAGGCTGTGGGAGGCCATTGTGCAGTGTGTATCACCATCGGTGGCAAGTTTGGGACATGGGGAGGGTTGTTCCTTCATTGTCCTGCTCTGCTTCCGCACCTTGGACCCATGTCGCCCATGCATCTCCCAAGTGCATCTCTCATGTCCCCTGCAGGACCACAGGAGGTGAGGAGGTGGGACCGGTGCTCCAGCCCCTCTCAGAGTCCATCCTTGCCCTCCTCCTGGGCAGAAACTCGCCCCCGTGGCCCTCAGCCGCAGCATCGAGAGCGAGGAACCTGCCTTGTTTATTTACCAAATGTTTCATCAGTTGCCTCTCTGAAGCTGCTTCCAGGGGGGTAAGGGTGCTGAAGAGGAGGAGAGGGTATAGGTCGGTGGTGCCTGGCATGGGCAGGGGGTGTCGCTGGAAAAAGCCTGAGCTGGAGGAGGAGGAGAAAAGATGGCTAGTTGTCAAAATGTCCCATGGGGGCATGAGGTAGGAAGGGAAGAGAAACACTGCGAAGCCTCAGTTGTATCTACTTGTGAATTGGGTTATTTGCAATAGATTACATATGAAATTAAGTTATTACCAGGCAGATCACACTCCGTATGGGTGCGAGATTGTTGCAAGTACAGCCCGTCTCTGACCTTACATCAAAGAGAAAAAATTAATGTTTATTCGTCCAGGCTAGATAGACGTGAATGTTCCAGCAACATATTCCACGCCTCTCAGATCTGGTGTTAGTTTCAGTCTCATGGGGTATTTAAAAATTGTCTATTAGGCACTCATTTTGTATGCCGTCTTGCTTTGGACCCAGAAGGTTTGTGTTTTCAGGCTTTTCTTAGAAGCAGCCTGACAAATGAGCGTAGGCTGATACCACTGAGGTCGTATCTTGGCTCCAGGATGTGGGGATTTTGGGAAGTGCAGAAGTTCTTCTTTGGCTGCGAGGCGAGTTTTCCTAGCAGGAAGAATAGTGGCATGGTTAAGAGGCGGGGTGGTTAAGTGTCATATGGAGAGTGGAATATGTGTGTGTGTGTGTACCACCTCTTTGCACAGGCTCGCTGGCTGTGTCTAACAAGCGTGCCCAGGTGTGTGCCAGCCCTGCACACTGGACTGTCACGAGCAGGAACCCAGGAGGGTCAGGTTGCTCCTTCTGCTGTGAAGCTCAGTGGGAAATGTTGTGATTCTTCTGCCCTCTTCCCAGATGTTTTCTGCAGGTCAGGTAGTCACACTGCCCTCTGCAAGGTGACTGGTGTGGTCCTGGCTGCTCTTATAGGTGACTCTCCAGAAGGAGGACCGCACATTTGGTGTGGGCTCTGAGTCTGCAGTGCACCTGCTTGACTTCACCGCCTGGAGTAGCTTCTCTGATTTGGATGGGAATAGTAATGAGTGTAAAGTTAAAAGTTGTAGGGGTGACAGACAATTAGAAAAGGACAGAGAACACCCTGGGTGTCTGTCATGCATAAACAACACCTGCTCCAGTTCCTTCCCCAAAGGAAATAAAAATATTAAAAATAAGAACAACGCTTTCAAATGGTGGAATTGCTTGTTAGTTTGTATATTCCATGGCTGAGACCAGTGGTAATTTAACTCCTGCTTCATTTACTATAACGTTGGGATCAACTACACATGGGATAATAGCCCATTTTCCTAGAAAGGCTTCTTGGAACCAAATGTCTGGCGTGCGCTTATGTACTTCTTGCTGTGAAGTGTGCTTTGCTCTGTGTGCTGTGTGAGGCAAAAAGAGATTTATGGCTTTAATTTCACCTTTTTCTGCTCTTCTTTTAGGAGTTTCTTTAAAGCTTTTTCACTTATTGGAGAAACTCAGGAACGAGAGAGAGTTTTAATCCATTTCTCCAGCAGATACTACCAGTGCAACCCAAACACCATTTCTTCTCAAGGTAACTTTGTTTGTGATAGGAAGGTCTTTGGTTGTCTCCCTTCATTCTCGCCTTCAATAGCATGTATGGTGTGTGCCTGGGAACTGAAGGAGTGTAATTGCTGTGCCACACTTTAGAGACTGCCTGCAGTGAGAATTGAAACCTCCATGTTCTCCACACGTAATCGTGGTAATGCAGTGAAAAAATCTGTATTTTTCCCCAGTCAGGAAAGGTGTTTAGGCCTCCTCAGTTGTAGCATCTCCAGATTTGAATGTCCTCGGTTGTCGTTTCTGGTCTCGCTGGCTTCCAGTGTGTCTGGGTACCTGAACTGTAGCTACACACGGGTAGATGAGAATGGGTCCCATCTCGGATGGAAGAGAAGCTGTTCACTTTCCGTGCTCCATTCAGTGCTTGTGTCTCTGCATGCACTGGCAGCAGGCGTGCCAGTTCTTGCCAGTTGTGGGGGTGAATTTTGGGTGCTGTATCCAGACCCTGGCATGGTTTCATCTCGACTAGCTAACATCAGTCGGAGTGCTGCCTTCTTGCCAATGTTTTCAGTCATTTTGGAAACGGATGGGGAAAACAAACAAGCACATGGATCAAACCTGAGAAAGTTGGCACTGGAGAAGAGGACGAACTGTCCGCTGGCATAGCTGCTGTGTTCAGCCAGCCACTCTGGCAGAGGCATGTGGCCCTGTGATTGCAATGCGGGCTGATCACATGCTGAGAAAGGGAGGAGGGCGAGAAAGAAAATAAGCACAGGCTAAGCTGTGCCTTTATTCTCAAGGGTAAGTGAGAAGTAGCTGCTACAGTTGGAGGTACTGCCACACTTCCTTACCCCTTGCTTTGTGACCTGCTCCCGTTGCAGTGAAGTGATATTTGTCCACTTTGCGCCTGTTCAGCTTTACTGGCTGGCGTGCCGGGGAGGGGAATAGGTAGCAGTAAGACAGGATCTGCTTCCACGCTATCTCTGCCTCTTCCTAATGCCTTTCTTGTTTCAAGACTCCACAGGCAGTCAGGTAGAGTAGGTATGTCATGCCTAGACTGAAATAATGACTTGCATGTTGATGTGGCAGCCTTACTCTAGTCCAGGGTGCAGGACGGACATTGCCACTTCTAAGCCTGAGTAAGCATTTAGGTTAAATTGAGTCCTGCAGACTTTGCCCAGGATTCTACATGAAGTTGATGCTGTATTTCTACTGTCAGTAGTCGAGTGCTACACTGCGGAAATACAGTGGTTGTTCCTTTCAATGGAAATCCAGGATTGCATTTGCTTTTCTCTTTTCCCCTTTCCCTTTTCCATCCTCTGAATGCATTTGTGGTTTGGAAATGAGAGGGCAGGCTACTCCAGAGAAATGCATAGGCCTGAACTGGAGCACCACAGCCCCAGATTCAAGCTGCTTCAGACCTACTACTGCTAGTGATAATAGTTCTCTCATTTCATGCTCTGCTACAGTTTGGCCGCATTGCTTGGGTGCTAGGGCCTGTATGAACGTCGCAAGAAAACATGGCCCTTAGCTTGGGGAACATCTTTTTGTAATGGCTTCATCTTGCACACGTTTAAGCCTGTGATAGTCACACTGAGTGTGAGATGTATCTATCCTCATCCCCCATTCCTCTTCCTTGACAGCACGGAGGGACCTGTGCGTGGTCATTATCTGGACTCGGCTACGAAAGTTTTTACGTACTTCTCTGCAGTGTGTGCATGTCTCATAAATGACTCTGTGTCTTTATGACACCCCTGTAAGAGAAGGGAAGGTGGCACCATGTGTTTATGAACAAGAGAATGGAGAAAATATTTTTCCTGATGTGTTCCTAATGTTTGGAAACTGGCTTAGAGGCATTTGGATTTTCAGAGGTGATAAATGGCACCATGGGCACTGTCTCCTTTGTCTGGATTTGTGCACAGCCAATACATTTTGGGTTTTGAAAGGGGTGCTTGGAAAATGAGGAATATGAAATTGGCATCCACTTTTGCAAATGACAGTCTACGCTGACTTTCCCAAGTCTGCCTCAGTGACTCCAGGGATGGAGCTAGGGATACAATCTGTCTCTTCTTGCTCATTGTTGAGGGCCTTTGCTACAGGACCACCTTGGAAATTGCTGGAGCACTCTCTGCCCAATATGGAGCCAAGGCAGTTTAAATAGCTGACTGAAGTTCTCCAAAATTCAGTCTAATTGAGCCCTGAATGAGGAGAGGGACAGAGCGGGAGAAAGACAGGATACCGTGCTGTATCCACTCTGTGAACAAGAATGGGTGTATTTTACTCTTCCCTTTCTGCCCTGAAATAAATGAAGAAGAGGGAGCTGATTCAGGCTCTGTGGTATTGGTATTAGCAAGCAAAGGGTGACAGCGTGGTTTCCTGTCTAGTTTGCCTTATCCATGGTTGCTGCAAGATAGTTTTGACAGTCATTAATAGATGAAAGAAAGGCTGTTCTGGCTTGGCAGCTGCGGGATGACCTCACTGTTCATTTATTTAATTATGTGTATTTCTTGATAAAACAGATTCTCATTAAGGGAACAGACTCAATTAGGCTATGAGGCTCAGTTTCAGCTGTTCTTAAAGGTCCAGTTGTGGGTTTGCATGTGACTCTGGTTATGTTTCTTTCTGCAGATGGAGTTCATTGTCTCACGTGTGCCATGATGCTGCTGAACACAGACCTACATGGCCACGTGAGTATGCACAGCTTTGCGCAGACTGCTCCTGTTGACACTGCGCTTGGAGGGGGTGGTCTTCTGGCAGCAGAGTCTCCTGGCTGGTGGTCTGCTCCTAAAACACCCCTGCAGACAGCAAACAGTGAGAAGGCTGCACTCCCAGGCTGTCATCCTGGGCAGGGCTTTCCAGCATGCCCAGATCAGTCATGTGTAAGCCTGGCATTGTGCCTGGTTTTCCCATAATGTGTGAGGATGCTCTTTGTCCTCAGGCCCCTGTCTTTCTGGTGTGCTTCTCATCCTTCCCCGGTTACAGCAGGCGGCCCTGGCTGGGAAGCAGTGGTTGGGATTGGCTTCCCCTTTCCAGTATGTAAAAACATTTGGGAAGGCAGAAGAAAGAAGGGAGGTGAAGAGGTGCTGGGAAGTTCACAAGGGGAAGGTGATGTTTGCAGGCATTCAGTTGCAGGGGGGAGATCTGGTGGAACCAGTGTTCTGCTCAGCCAGGGTTATGATGGGTGTGCCCAGAGCCAAGAGAGCAGAGGGGGGATGTGGGCACCCTGAGTAGGAGCACTGTGTTCCCCCACTGCACACCTCTCCCCGCTGCCTGCCTAAGGGAAATAGTATTCCAGTTTGAGTCCTCTTAGTCACACTGGTACAGGGTGCCAGCAGCCCTAGGACATGTATTTCAGTACCCATGGTGCAATATACCTGCTATGCATGGTATTCCCATGCTGATGGGAGGCTTCCTCTGTCCTGGAGTCGGGATGGAGAGGGAGAAACACAGGGAGCATGGCATGATAGCATGCAGGAGTGATGGCTTCAGCCAGGTGGCTTTGGGGCTTCTCTCTGGCTGAGAACCTCCTCTGCACTGCCCAGGGCCCTTCCAGGAGGGCCTCAGCTTGGGAGCTCTTATGCAGCAAGGGTGGTGGGTTGGGCAGCAGGAGATGGATGCACCCTGGGTCTGTCTCCAAGAGCTGCTTGGCCCCTGTGGGTGCAGCTCTGTGGTGGGTGCGGGTAATGAAGCTGAGGCTCGTGTGTGCTTCCCCAGGGGTTTTGACACCCACCTCCTGTTAATTGAATGCCTTTGTCTGAAAACCGTAGAAGCAGGAGGGGGAAGGGAGTTGCGAAGAATTTTTTTCTGTGAAGGCTGAGCCTTCCCCAAGTGAGGAGTGCGTCAGTCATGTGGAGGGTGAGCGGAGGTACAGGAATGTGTCCTGGTGTGCCTCTTAGCATGCACAGCTTCTCTTGAGCACACCTGAGGCTGCCTGCGCAGGTATCCTGCTCCCCAGAGCAATGAGCAGCCGTGGGCACCTGCTCTCCAGCCTGCCTGGCCTTGCAGTCCAGGGAGGGAGACTAAATAGCTGTGCGTCAGCCTGACAGCATTTCCTGTCGTGCCTTGCGATGCTTTAGTGGGCCCTACTGTCTTCGTTAGGTGCTGGAGTAAATGGTCTGGCTCTGACCCATTGTCGCTGATGATGATTTGCAGCTGAAGCTGGGATGACTCTGACTGTTGCAGTGTGTAACTTTGGGGGCTTATCCTACTGGCAGTTGTTAGTGTGGTGTTACATGATTGCAGCTGTAATGTTTGCCAGATTCCTGCATGTGTCTCCTCTCTTTCTCTCTCTCTCTCTCCCCCGCCCCTGTGCTTTCCTGTAATTTTGGTCTTCCTCTTACTGCTTTGCGTTTTTCTACATAGGTGGTAAGTTGGGTATTTTTGACTTGGAATGCAGCCCCTTGCAGATATACACTAATTGCCTGTTTCCTAACAAAGATAATGCTATGGCCCATCCTTAGCATGATTCTGCTAGAGCAGGAAGTAAATGAGTCACAGGGCTTGTCCACGCTGAGCTCCATTTCTTGCTGACATACTGATCATAAGTGCAGATGCTTATTTCACAATAAGCTCAACTGCTTGTAGGGCTGTAGTGCAGCTGCTCTGCCTTCAGTTCACACTTTCCCTTAACTCTTGTAGACAAACTCTTACTTATCCCTTTATTTATCCCTGTCCCGCCACATTTCATTCCTCTTTGTAATTAAATCATTTTTGCTAGCTGTGTCTTGGAGGTGCATGCTCGCTTCTCTGCAGGGAGGTCATCACCCAGACTGTGATGCTAGAGACTTTTAAGGTACCTCTAGACTGCCAGGCACACCTTCTGGAACCTGTGTGGCTGTTGTGGTTTAACCTGGCAGGCAGCTAAACGCCACACAGCCATTCACTCAGTCCCTCCTGCCCTGGTGGGATGGGGGAGAGAATCAGGGAAGAAAAAAAAGTAAAATTTGTGGGTTGAGATAAAGACAATTTAATAGAACAGAAAAGGAAGGGAAGATAATACTAATAATAATAGTAAAAAAAGAATGTACAAAATAAGTGATGCACAATGCAATTGCTCACCACCTGCCGACTGAAGCCCACGAATTTTACTTTTTTTTACTGTGTGGAGATGTTAGCTTTGGTCCTGGAGCAAAACAGTCATTCCTCTGCCATGCCAATTATCTCAGTGGGTGAAATGAGCCACACTGCTGTTGGTTTTGGTCAGCGTAGGGAAGCTGCAAATTGCTGTGTGGAGGAAACAGAGGCAGGCTGAAGTCTGTTGCAGGGAGGAAGGAAAGCATTTGCAAGTCCAGTAGAACAGCTCCAGCCTGCACCCAAAGACTGCAATTATGAGCTGTATTCTGCAAGCTTAGCAACCAGAGAGCCAGGGTTACAGCCAGACTGTGTTGTCAGGAGCCCTCCTGATATGAGAAGCAGTGCATCGTGTGCCCCTCCAGAAGTATCTCCTCTCTTGTGGAAGGCAGTGTTCCTGCCTGCCTTCTTCTGCTAGTCCGTGCTGGCCACAGACTGCGGGATCTTCCTTTGTGGCTAAATGAGGCTGACGGTCAAGGTTTGCTGGTTTTCCATCTCTCCCTGGTCATACATTATGGAAGTCGAGGATGTGCAGTCCAAGCTGTCATGTAACTATAACATTGAATGACCTGTATTACTGACTGGTGCCCTTCTTTGGGCTCCACTCCCGTGTTAATTTGGGCTCTTGCTCCTAACCCAAGTCACGGTCTGCGCACAAAGCTCTTCCACTGTATTTCTGCCGCCATGGAGACCATGGAGAAATTGTCTTCACCCCCTTCTAATGACTGGCAGCAGTGGCATCCCCAAAGATACTGTGGTCATCACAGGACCCTGTTTTCCCTCTGCCTTTACCATGTCTCACAGCTCATCCCAGGCTGCCTCCCTTTTTTCAGTTCTCTCTGGGCTCCTTTTCCACCAACTCAGTGTTGTCATTGCTGCCCACTTACAAGGCTCCCTGCATGCCAAGTGGGACTTCTAGCATGCAGGGGACCAAGTACAGACACCTTCTCTGAGGGGTGATGAAAACTGGGATCCAAGAGCATTTTAGGGCAGCCTCAAGCTTCCAAATGGAGCAGTTTGGGTCCCACATGAACATGGCCGTTCCTTTCCTGTTTGTGGCTCAGTTGGGCAACTTTCAGTCTGAGAATTAGACAGAAAGAGAGAGAAGAGAGCAATCCTTTGGAAATGTCAAGGCAGCCTCAGCCTGTGAATCAGAAAAGGTAATGACTGTTCCTGGGCATCTTACTCCAACTCAGGGCAGTTGCTACTGGAAGGGAGCATTGAAAGTCGTAACAAAAAGGTCTGGAAAGGGCCTCAGTCAGCTGTTTCTTTATGCTCCACAGCAGGATCAAGTAGAGCTTTTCCATCAGAGGCTGGTAGAGCCTCTGGAGACATGGGAGTGCAAGGCACCATGCAGATACCGAGGAGCTTCATCATCACCCTCTTCATTACCCTCCAGTGTTCAGCTGTTTTTCTTTTCAGATGGGTGTGTGGGACTTGGGGTCCAAATGCAACTTCCGTTTTCTAACTATATTCACACAAGGATGCTCGTCTCCGAGTAATCTTGGGAATGCCTTCTTCGTGCTGCCTGCCTTGGGCTTAAATGAGAGCAGGGAGATGCAATTCATCTGATGTCGCTTATTTATGTCATTTTGGAAAGCAGCATGAATATGATGCTGTGTTTCTCTGCCATCCCTTCCAGAACATTGGGAAAAAGATGACCTGCCAAGAGTTCATTGCTAACCTCCAGGGGATGAACGATGGCAAAGACTTCCCAAAAGGGCTGTTGAAGGTAAGGAATGAACTGCAGAACATGGATTTCGTTTTTAGTGAGAGATGGTTCAAAACAGAACACCCTGCTTGCATTTTCTGAATCTTAATTGTCAAACAGGACAAGCTATGGGCACATTTCTCCTCCCAGAATATACATAATATATACAGTGTTTATTCTGTTGTTTTCCCTCTTGCCTTCACTTGATTGTGATCGAGACTCATTGCAGTGTGGAGCGGCGAGACTGAACTGCAGTGGGGCCAGCTCCAGAGCCATGTGTCTTGTAAGCTCATGCGGTCATGCTGTCCCAGAGTGCTGTCTCCTGATTAAAGCGGACAGAAACAGCCAGTTGGTTCTGACTATTGAATACGTAAGAGCTAATCCTGAGCTCTGCATATCTGGAAGGTGTGTGTGTTTTTTCATCAAAGGTGCTTTGGGGTTTTCACATTAGAGCAGGAGATGTAATTTCAGATTAGAATGTGTTGTCTGGCAGAGGCTGCTTTGCTTCAGGTTTTGTTCATTAAGTTTGTGCCAGGAGTTAAATCTGAAGAACAGGGCAAGAGGCTGAGCGGG